TAGGCAGGGAAGTGTACATACCAGAAGTAAAGCTCAGTGCCTTTGCACCAACCAAGCACCTGTCTAGATGCTAGGAAGACAGGAAGGAGCCTGATGTGGACGTGAGCCTTGAGACGATCCAAGTTGGTGTGCTGGAGATCCAGGCAAGCAGCAACAGGTGCATGGAACAGGGCATCCTCGACAGGTCAGTGAGTCTGCTTCCCCAGTGCTTTACTGTTGCCACTTTGTGGCACTGGCCATCTGCTAGCCTCAGTTTCCTCATCTATAAAATGGAAGGGTGAGATCTGTAGCCTCGAAGGCCCCTTGTTCATATGTACCGTGGGCTTGCTTCTCGTTCATAGGCTAAGCCCAAGCTTCTCCCCAGAAGACCCAGCTTTGGTCACCCCATCTCCTTTCTCTTCGCAGTCCCACAGCCCACTTCCTGCTTACGTGGGAGTCCTTGGCATTCTGCCTCCAGTCTCTTCCTCTCTCAGTCTGCATGTGCTCTTATGACCACTCCCCACTGTGTGTTGAAGCCACCTACATCAAAAAGAGGTGTGGCCCCATCCTTTTCACGGAGTTCGTGACTCATAATAAAACCAGTATTTGGGCCGGCGCCGCGGCTCACTAGGCTAATCCTCCGCCTTGCGGCGCCGGCACACCGGGTTCTAGTCCCGGTCGGGGCGCCGGATTCTGTCCCGGTTGCCCCTCTTCCAGGCCAGCTCTCTGCTGTGGCCAGGGAGTGCAGTGGAGGATGGCCCAGGTGCTTGGGCCCTGCACCCCATGGGAGACCAGGAAAAGCACCTGGCTCCTGGCTCCTGCCATCGGATCAGCGCGGTGCGCCGGCCGCAGCGCGCTGGCCGCGGCGGCCATTGGAGGGTGAACCAACGGCAAAGGAAGACCTTTCTCTCTGTCTCTCTCTCTCACTACTGTCCACTCTGCCTGTCAAAAAAAAAAAAAAAAAAACCAGTATTTGTTAAGTCACAGATACAGTCCCGTAGTTATGACTTATCTATCCAAAAACCTTATGAATGAGGTGGTGCTGCCCTATTAAATAAATAAGTATAACTGAGTTCAGAGGATATGGAGACTTGTTCAAGGCCCCACAGTTGATAAGTGATGGAGCCAGCATTGTGGCGTAATAGGTTAAGTCACCGTGTGTGATGCCAGTATCCCATCTGGGCGCCGGTTTGTGTCCTGGCTATTTACTTCTGATCCACCTCCCTGCTGATGGCCCGGGAAAGCCGCAGTAGATGGCCCGAGTGCTTGGGCCCCTGCCACTTGCATGGGAGGCCCGGATGAAGCTCCTGGCTCCTGGCCCAGCACTGGTGTGGGCATCTGGAGAGTGAACCAGCAGATGGAAGATTTCTCTTTCATCTCTCCTTCTCTGTAACTCTGATCTTCAAAGTAAATAAATAAATATTTTTTAAAAAATCTGTAGTGCTTCAGTGCCCACACTTGATTTCTCACGTGCTATATTTTGAACTCATTGAGCCACTGAAGAGACATTTCTGTTTGGATAGTCCACAGACGCCTTAGTTTCCACATGTGTAAAAGTGGCCTCACCACTTCTCCACCGTCTGCCTCTTCTGCCTCTTCCTCTCTCCATGGGAATGATTGTCACCACCAAGCCAGTGACGCCCAAGCTAGAAGGATGGGAGTCTTCCCCGGTCCTTCGTCTCCCTTTCCTCCAGACACTCAGCCCTCTGCTGTATCCCGGTGAGATTTTCCTCCGTTCTTCTCTACTCCTGCCGCCGTTACCTCCAGTAGCTATCCTCTGCTGTCTCCGGGTCCCTGCAGCAGCCGCCTTGTCAGTCTCCCTGCCTCGGAGCTCTCTGCTGGAGTCCACCGCACCCACCTGCTGGCGCGGTCCTTGGCAAGCCCATGTGTGATCGCATCTCTTTCCTGCTTCACACCTGCTCTCTGCGGCTCTACAACAGGGCTCAAAGCTGGCCGCCACGGACTGGCATTCATCGCAAAGGCATGTTTTGTTTGACCCACGGAGTATTTTTGAAACATTTTGAATTAGATGCAAGCATTTAACAATCAGGATGTTGTACATAAAGGTTCATATTGCGGGCTTCTCTTTCAAAAGTGAAAGATGGGCACCTTTGGGTCAACATCCCTGCAGGGCGGATATCGGATGGAGCTGAGGGGCAATTGGCCTCTGTAGCAGGACCATGGTCTCACCAGCTTTCCATTCTCCAGCATTCCCTAATGCCGCTTAGACGCAGGTCCTGCCACTGCTTCTGATGACTTGAGGCGTTGGAGCTCATACCCCTGCTGTGTGGGATGAAGCCCGAAGCCCTGAGCGAGGCTCATCAGGTGCTGTGTAGCTCTGTAGGCCAGCCTGCAGCAAAGCATCCGTGTCATCAGCTGCATCGTAGACTGCTCGCTGCCTGCATCACACTCGCCCTGTGCCCTCCGCACACTCTTAGCCGCTGTGCTGTGTCTGCCATACTCGTGCCTGCCTCTGTGCACGGGCTGCCTTGGAATGCGTAGGCCCCCCTTGAAGTCCTGTTTGTCCTTTAGAACTCTACTCAGATGCTCAGTGTATCCAGAAGCTTTCTGGCCCCTCCCACCCTTAGCTGAGATTGCTCCTCCCTTAACTCAGTCATCCCGCTAATCACACCGTCACTGTTAGGCTGAGACTCCAGCAAACGGGTCTTCTTTAACTTTTTTTTAAATACTTGTATAGTTTTTACGGGGTAGCATGCAATTTTTCAGTTGCAAACAGATGCATGAAATGTAAACTGATCAAATCAGCTAATTCATGTTTTCCTGACCTTCTTAGTGTTTGGAGCCTCGTAGCTCCTCTCTTGCAGTTCTTTGTACAGTATAGTGACCATTACTGTAAACGGTAGGCACCCCTCTGTGCTGTGGAGCACTAGAATCTATTCCTTCTGTCTAACATCAGTTTGGTTCCCATTATGTAACCTCCCTCTACCCTCCCCCCATAGCCTCTGGTAATTGCTATTCCTATGTTCAGAATGACTTTAAAAAAAATGTTCACATGAGACAGAATGTGTGGTATTTGAATGTTTGTGTTTTGCGTATTTCACTTAACATAATGGCCTCCGGTTCTATCCATATTCCTACAAATGTCAGGACTTCATTCTTTTTCGTGATTGAATAATATTCCATTGTTATACCATATTTTCTTCATCAGTTGATGAATGTCTAGATTCACTGTCTGGCTATTGTGATCCGTGGTGCAACAAACATTGGAGTGCCTTTCCTTTGGCTATATGCACACAAGGAGAATAGCTGGGTCCTATGATAGATCTATTTTAAGTTGTTTTTCTAGATCAGCTTCCATACTGTTTTCCATATTGACTATACTGATTGGCACTCCCACTAACAGTGAGGAAAGGGATTTCCTTTACAACCTCATCAGCATTTGTTATTTTTGGTCTTTTTGCTAATAGCCACTCTATCTTGAGTGAGATGGCATCTCATTGTGGGTTTGAGCTATATTTCCCTGGTGGCTAGTGATACTAAGCATTTAGAAATTTTTTATGTATTTGAAAGAAGTCAAAAGAGGTCAAGAGAGGTCTTTCAACTGCCAATTTACTCTCCCAATGTCCAAGAACAGTCAGGGCTGGGCCAGGCTGAAGTCAGGAGCCAGGAACTCCATCCAGGTCTCCCACATGGGTGGCAGGGACCCAAGTACTTGAGCCATCATCTGCTGCCTCCCAGGATGCACATCAGCAGGGAGCCAGATTGGAAGTGGAGTCCAGGCGCTCTGATTTGGAATGTGGGTATCCCAAGCTGTGGCTTAACCTTTTGCACCATAACACCTGCCCTCTAAGCGTTTCTTCATACACCTCTTGGGTATTTGTGTTTCTTCTTTGTGAAATCTCTATTCAAGTGCCCATTGTCTTTATCCTCTCATCCCTGAAGCTTTGCATGGGGCTTGGAATGCACTAGGTGCCTAATAACTGTTAAATGAATGGATAAATCAGTTAAAGACAGACTTGGGATAATACTACTCTAGCGTGTGCTGACATCTCTGCTTGCTTATGGCAGGGTGGTTCAGGTCCCTTTCATTCTTCAGCACCCCCACCAAGCCCCCCATTAGGAGTAACAACTGCAATAGCCAGTAAACCTTGCCTCTGCTCTGCCAGCTCTGGGATACATCTGAGCCTACGGGGATGCTAGCATCAGTTTTGGTGTCTCTAGGAGAAGGAGGTGGCCCATAGTTGGGAAATAGCATAAACATCGGATATGGCACATTCTTCAGTCACTTGAATAATAATGATGATAATGACAACATCTGCTGTTCATTGAGCAGTTACATTGTGCCAGACCCTGAATTAAGAGCTCTTGGCTATATCATTTTATAACTCTAAGTTAATGTAAGTCATACTGTTATCCCCATTTTACAGGTGAGTAATCTTAAGATTCAGGAAGTTCAAACAATTTTTTCAATGTCACACAGCCAACCAAGTGGCAATGTCAAGACTTGAACCCAGATCTGCCTGACTTCAGTTAATACTCTCAACCAGCACACCATACTTCCTCCATGATATGTCTCTTAAGAGATAAATGTGGAACTGAAGCCTATGATATTATATTTATTCAATTATTTAATGAAAAAGAAAGAAAAGAACATTCTGAAGTATGAGAAAACGACCAAGGAGACAAACTCGTGTGTTAGCCGTGGTTGCATTCCAGTAGCATGGTGCTGGGGAACTTTTTCTTCTTTTCTTCTGTTGTGTTCCTATTTTTTTTTTAGTACTTTATAAATTTCCTTTAATGAGCGTGTACTACTTTTATACTAAGAAAACAAACCGTCTGCTTGGAATAGCCCCAGCATCCAGTGTTAGGACAGAGGTCAGGAAGGGGCTGATTGGAGTGGCCAGCTAATCAGCAGGGCCGTCTCTTGAGTGGCTGTCGCGGATCAGTGCAAGGGGACAATCAGCAGGCAGCAGCTGTGACCTCAGCATCTGCACCCTTGTGGGGCAGAGGAGAAGCAGGCCACTGTTGCTGCTGTCTCACCGTTTCCCCTCTTCCTCCAGGTGCTTACACCCCAGAGCCCCTCAGCAGTTTCCGGTGGGCTCTGCTCTCAACTGGCCTCATGTTCTTTTATCACTTCAGCATCTTGCAGATCCTCGGCTTGGTAAGTGTGGTTGGATCCCCTTCTAGCCCCTTTGTTTGGAGTTCTCCATAAATCTCGATAATCCTGGTTGGCGCTGGTGTATCGTTTTGTTTTGAAGATACAAGATGCTCAAGGCCAGGACGTCAGATTGTTGTGTCTGGGTTGTTGATTTATGATCCACAGCCTTGGCCTCTCCAAAGAGTTTTCTGAATCCTTCGGTAATGACTGTTTCTTTCATCCCTGGGGAGGCAAGGATACCCTTCACTCATGGCCAACTTGGGTCAGCAACAGTGAGGTGCAACTGGAAAGGGGTTTGCTGTGGACCCCATGGGAGCAGGACCCTCACTTTGGCACTGGGCCTGAGGGAGGCTTCTGACCTCAGATCCAATCTGGGCCTGCTTCCAGGCCTGTTAGCGGGTCCTGCCCTGAGTTGTGTTCCCAGTTGAAGTGTGGTGTTGGGAACCCTGTGGCATTCTGGGGTGTTTAGAACTGCCCGGAGCATGGAGAATGGTTGGACACAGCAGCTGAGTTGTCCAGAACCCACGATTGCTGAGTGCAAGGGTGTTTATTGGTGGCAAAGTGAGTAAGAAGAGCTCAGGGCTGGGGCTGGGGGTCCGGAGACCTAAATTCAAGTCCTGGCTGTGCCACGTACTCTGAGTCACCTCCCTGTGGAAGGCAGAGTGTTTGCCACCTCTCTGTGACATGGTATATAGCCTCAGCCTCCTTGAGAGGTGGTGAGAACTTGTCTTTAACGTGAATGGTCTTGAAATTTGGAAGGCAGGTGCCGTGGCCGTCCTCGGGGCAGGAGTGGCATGTCTGGTATCTAAGCGGCCTTAATGGAGCTTTAGCCATGTGGAGCCTCGCGTGGCCTAGCGTGACTCGGGCTGTGTGACTGATGTCCCCGGTGCCTCTGTCGAAGCAGGCACTTTTCTCTTCCGCACCCTGGTGTATGCCTCTGCTCTGGTTTGCCAGGGGGAGTCTGAGCTCCTTGCCAGTAGTGTGAATGCTTCCCATGCTCATGGAAGGCTGCAGTAGGACATGCACACCCTTCCTTACCTCTCACTGCTCCCCACTGGGCTCGTGACTTGCAGAGCCATCAGTGCGCTCACGTCACCATACATACCATGCTCCGGCCACACCTCCTACAAGGAAGGCCTCGCTCACCACCTGCTCGCCATAATGCCCCATGACATCCATCGCTCATGAGTCCATTCAGGGCCCACTTCCCTCATGAAATCTTCTCTGAGGATTCAGCCTCCACTTTGTATGCTCCTCAGACCTCCTTGTGGCATGTAAAACCCAGAGAGCACCGTCTGGTTCAAGGTCAGAGGCAGCAAACTGGTCACACCCACCTGATTGACTGCCAGCTACACGGAGGCAGGGACCATGCTGTTGACTACTCTTTTATCCCATAGCATTGCTCTGGGGACTAGCCACATGTAGACCCTTAGGAGTGGCAACAGACTCTGGACGCAACCAGAAGGCAAGACTCTGAGCCGAACCAAACCTCTTTTCCATTGGATAACCTTCCTCTATCACCTCTGAGAGCTCTGGCCTTGGCCCCCTGAGAAAATCCAGGGGAGAGGAATCTCTTTATGAGCAAGTGGGGATTGGTCAATCCCTCCTTGTCTAGTCTCCTGGTAGGTAGAGATGGCTGAACTGGCAGAAGCCAGAGAAAGCCAAAGGATGTGAACGCTCACTCTACCTCCCTTGTCCCTGCAGGTCACCGAAGTGAATTTGAACAACATGCTGTGTCCGGCCATCTCAGACCCATTCTACGGCCCCTGGTACCGCGTCTGGGCCTCGGGACACCAGACTCTCATGACCATGACCCACGGGAAGCTGGTTATCCTGTTCTCATACATGGCTGGGCCCTTGTGTAAATATCTGCTGGATTTGCTCCGGCTTCCAGCCAAGAAAATAGACTGAAGGTGCTTGTTATTTCTTTGTTTCTCCCCATAGAAGCAAGTCTTGGCTTGACTTGGAGAACACCCAGTTCTTGATGAAATCATGGGAGAGGGCAGTAGGCTGTTTGGTGTATTTCTTTTTTTTTCCCTCCTCTCTGTCCCTTTCTTCCACCACTCTTCCTTCCCCTGCTCTTCCCCCAGGATGTCTCCTTGGGCCTGGAGGGTAGTGCTGGGAACTGGCGTTGCCCTCCTTCCTGTTGGCTCTTTCTCCCTGCTCCTAGTGGCCTTACGTGGGAAGACGGTAGTCAGCGGCTCCTTCGCTCTGCTTGTTGGTGCTTTAACATCAGCTGGCCAGAAAGACAGGGAACAACAAGCAGTAGCTCTTGTGGTATCAAAGTGATGAGAGTGGGTTGTGTTTCATTTCTGCACTGCCAGGGACCTGCAAGCTTCTGCCGGGATCCCCTTTTGTCTCCAGCACAGCCCTCACCATAAGGGGCCTGAGGCCTTGTTTCTATACCAGCGCCAAGCCCAGAGCTGAGGGATTTTCCCAGCTCATGGCCAAAATAGCACTGGCCAGATTCTTCCCCGTGGTGTCCCATGACTCAAAGCATGAAGCCAACCAGCCACTCCCTTCAGGATACTGTGGTGGGAGGGGGAACACGAGAATCCACTGCAGAGGTTGAAGAGCTATTGCCATGACACATCCAAAGTGTAGCGGGTTAAAAATGTACACTGCTAGACAGGGCCCTGTGCCATTTCTGCCCACGAGAACTGAGAACCGACCCACCCCAATCAGTAGTGCACATAGAACTTAACGAGTAGAAGCGGTGACTTGAGAAAACTGTGATTTGAACCATACACTCCATCTTAGTTTCACGTGGCTAATAAATCCCATCTCGGCTATGAGTGCCCCTCCACTGTGTTCTTGTTCTCTCTTCGTAGCAGCTTTGTGAAAGACTGAGCTGGAGTTCGGTGTTTTGGGATTTGCCTTTTTTTTTTTTTTCTTGTTCGTATTTGGCTTTCTGTTTTTGTACGAGTTTTCGCAAATCTTCACATCGGGGCCCATGGCTGGAAGGGCTCCTTTCAATCCGTTCCTTGGTTGTACAGGGTATGGCAGAATCCTGGTTTGGGGAAATATAGTTTCTGCCGACATGGTTTCCTTAGGGCCCGATTTTTTCGGTGCAGCCACCCTGAGTGCGGAATTGTTGACGATGGCTGACATCACATACTCCGCACCCTGCCTGCTCCCGGAGCCCATGTGGAGGTGAAGTCAAGGCATCAGACCCCCACTCAGAGAGGCCGAGGGGCTCTTGTTAAAAGAGCCATGTGTAGACCTGGCGAGAAGAGGCGGTGGTTGGGCATTTGCCGACTCTTCGTTGACTTCTACTAGGAACAGGTTTGCTTAAGAACAGAAACGAGCTTCCAGAGAATTCCCTCCCCTCTCCCATGCCAGGCAACCCAGTTGCCCTGGGCCAGTTGCAGCGTTTGAAGTTTGGCCCTGTTAGATGTGGATTGGGCTTCCGTGACTCAGTGCCCTCATTGTTAGCACTCGGACTTGCGGGAGGCAGCCGATTGCAAGAGCGTCTGTGAGAATGAGTTGAGACCCAGGGAAGCAACCCTAGGAGGAACTGCCCTTCTGTAGAGGCCTAGAGGTCTGCTGGTATTGGGGCAGCCAGTCCCCAGGCCTGGCTTGGCGAGCAGAAAGGGAGAATATCAAGTGCCCTTGCTCTCCTTGGGCTTTTTTTTTTCTTTCCATCTTTGAGGACTAGGCCACTCTTTTTTTTTTTTTAAGTTCCTCTCACCCTAAGGTTGCCCTTAATGGTAGGCACCTTTTGAGTGGCTGGATTCGCTCTAGCCACTATCAGTTGGCTGCATGTAGGGTTTGGCTGGTGAGGAAATGTGTGAGGAGCCAGTGCCTCTTGGCCACTCTACAAAGGGAGAGGTTGGAAGGAGGTCATGAAGGCGGCCCTGGGGGCCTGGCTCAGCTCCTACCAGAACAAGTTGCTACAGGCAGCAGATCTGCACCTCAGCTGGGGACCAGCTCAGGAAACCCACAGTCCTGTTAATTCGGGCCCTGTCTTCCACCCTGCCTTCGTGGCATGGCACAGGTTGCCAGTCAGCCTGGGTTCTCCTTGCATTGGCATGCCTCCAATGGTTTGCCTTTGTCCTGGCAACAGCTCAGTGCCCCATTCCAGCCAGCACTTTCCAGGGCTCAGAAGGAGAGAAGAAAGTGAAAGCCATGTGCCTGGCAAGGCCAGGCCAGAGACAGGTATATCCATCAGAGGCAGAGGCGAATGAATGAAGGGGGAGATGCAGGGCTTTTGCGGGGGGAGTAGCTTGGTGCAGAAACATGTGGGTCAAAGGAACAGACAGTGGGGCCTGGTCCACAGCCTCCCTGAGGAGTAATGGCATGCATTTGGGGTCTCAGGGAGCACTGGGTATCTGTACTGGTCTGTATCTCACTTTGACCTTGGACCAATCCTATGTAGAAAAGAGCTAACCTGGACAGGCCTATAGCAGCTGGCATTTAGGGGTAGCTCCCATATGTGCTGCGAAGGCAGCCTGCTACTACCCTAATTTTAGTATTTGATTCATGATGGAGGAGGAAGCTGTTGTCTATACCCCTAGGGACCAGTGGGTGCTCGCTTCCCCTCACCTCCCCAGGGCTTTTGTTTCAGTGCCAAGGTGCTTCGCTAACCACTCTGGCCAAATTTCCACATGCCATTTGCCAGTATGTAGGAGCTCTGTATGTGTGAGTATAAGAGAGAGAGAGAGAGAGAGAGAGAGAGAGAGAGAATGTGTGTGTGTGTATGTGTGTGTGTGTTCATGAAAGTGGCTAGTTTCCTTTTAAACAGCCCTGGGAAAGGGAAAAGAGAGCCTTCAGGTAGCCTTGGCCAAGCATCCGGGCCAAGGAGTACAGTCCGTTGAGCTGGCCAACTCATGGCATCCGCTCTGAATAGCAGAGCTTATGGCCACACCTGCTGATAGCCCTTGTCACTCCTAGAGTATGGTTTTGCACCCCAAAGCTGATCTGGCCCATTTTCCTCTTGGAGACACAGTGACGTATTCCTCTGTTGGCCTTCGAGGGCATTGCGGGGTTCTGAAGCCAGAGTCAACCTTCTCTCTTTCTATGAGGACTTTGTAGCCTTCACAGAAGCTGCCTGCAGGGTCCCGACCATTTGTGATCACTGAGGATTTAGTGTTATGTGATGTGGGTGCGATGTCCATGGGCAGCAGGTTGTCAGCAGGTCCCCCTGCTGGGTAGCTCAAGGAATGGCAGAATTGTCCTTCCTCTCCCTCCCTCTGCCCAAAAGACTTCTCTGAATTTGTAGCTGTTGGCCCAAGAGTCATCTGTCCATGTAAGAAGAGGATGCTCCTCCTGGTTTCTGGGGAAAGCGAGATGAGGGAGGAGAAAGGGCGGGCCACACATAACATCGTAACAAGATGCTATAGTGCTGGCTTTGGTGAGTCAAGAACAGGCATGAGGCTTGAGCAGGCTGCTTGGCAAGACCCATACTGGGAAGGGGCCTCCCAGCTGTTCTGTTGGAGGCAGGTAGAAACCCTAGGAGCACGTGAGGCTTCCTCTTGTATATATAGAATGAGCCGATTTGTGCTCAAGAAAACAGTCGCTTGCTCTTGCTCGTCTGTGACATTTTTCTATACTGGTTTGCTACTCGTGGCACGAAATAAACAAAACTCACCAAAAACCACACACCAAAATCGAAAGTCCTTTCAAGCAAAGCTGTTGTTTTGGGAAGTCTAGCTTTCTTTTAGTGTCAAATCTTCAAGAATTATTTGGTATTGGTGTTAGTATAATGAAGAGGATAGGATAGCTAGATCGACCCCTGATTACCTCTGTCAGGAAATTTGCCATTGCCTCTGCCTCTCTTACCTCGCCTGCTCCCGGACGACCCTTTGCGGGCACCCCCACTCCCCCTCCACACACACACATACAGAAGCAAGTCCTTTTTCTCAGACTGGTTTTTGGGTGCTCTGTGACCCTACCTGTTTGCTCGCCTCTGGGGACGTTTGGTAATGTATTTTGTCTGTTTTGTAAAACCTTTTGATTGTATCCCTGAAATGGTTTCTGCAATCACCGTTGGAAATAAATGGTCCTTAATTTGTGTACTTGGCATTCGGAATTGTGGTCTCAGGCGTTTCTGTTGTTGAAGGTTGTTCTATTGTTGAATGAAAAGGAACCCGCGCCGTGGGGCTTATTATTTCAATGCTTTCTTCAGTTGCTGTTATTAAAAGATTGACGAGAACCCAGGAGTCCTGGCCTTGCTTCCCAGAACCCTCTCAGGAAGCCTTCTCCTTTGAAAAGTAGACAAAAGGGACCACTGGCCTTCTACACCACAGAGGACCGGCATGAGCAGCTGAGCCTCTTTGCCCACGAGCAGTGTGGCTGGATGGCCTTGAGTTCCCATGCACCATCTACCTCCGCCAAAGCTGCCCAGGACCCAGCAGGCCCTTTGCTCCTAGCACAGCTTATCTGCTGGCGACGTTCGCTGGGCTCTCACGGGGGACCCCCACAGTGAGCTGTCCCAGGCTGGGTGACTGAAGTTGAGAAGGCAGCTTCGAAGCCAAAGGCGTTGCATGCAGGCCCATTCAACCCCAAATTTCCGGAGGGTCAGCTTTGGGCTAGTACAGCTCAGCACTGGTCTCACTGTCCCATGGGAGATGTGACTGAGCTAAGCTTACCCTCCGGGAACCATCAGGTGTGCTTTTCTAAGGCCACCGCTGAGAACCAGCACCTTGACAGCAGGCAGAGACCCTGTTTCATCTTCTGGTACTGCTGCTGCTTCTAGAAAGGTCTTCCCATTTGCCAGGCCTTGGGCAGCACTCTAAGTGAGAAAGAGCCCTGGGATCCTGGGCTAGAAAATGACCAACTTGGGAAAGCCATGTCTACTGTAGTAGCCACCCCAGGTTCTCTGCAAAGCAACAGCTAAAACACAGGCACGATGCTCCATCCCTCCCTCCTCCTTACCTCTCCTAATCCCCACAGAAGCTCAGTGAGCCGAGGGCAACGCTGGCCTGTTGGACAGAGGCTGAGAAAACGGAGGCTCACCAATAAGCAGAGGAACTGAGATTTGAAACCGGTTTTGTTAGAACCCAAAGGCCATATGCTTTCTCCTCGTTTTTGGGCTCATCACTGTGCAGGGGTTGCTGTGTAGACCCTTGCCCAGGGACCCCCACCCCCCACCCTTAGAGAAGCAGAAGAGCCAGGCAGGATGTGAAAAGTAAGAGAAAGAATGGTGAGACCTATGACCACAGAAGTAGAGGTGTGGAGGCCTTCTTTGCTGGTGCTGCCAGCTGGGCTGACCCTGGGCAGTCTCAGAGCAGAGCCAGAAGGAATAGTAGCAAAAGGGGCCAGGACAAGAGGGGACAGGCGAGTGCTGGCCTTGGGGGACAGATGGCAAGAGACTGAGGGAAGGGTGGTATGAAAGACTGATCCTGCTGCCTTTCCATGGATGTTTTGGGGAAGCGAGCTGAAGGCCTAGCGTCTGGATTGCCTTCTTTTCTCCCTTTGGGCTGTTTTTTCTTCTCCTTCTGAGGGGCAGGGGAGAGTTTGGGGTGGTTACAGCCTGATGCACCAGTGGAGGAACAGAGATAAACAGATGTGAGTCTGACAAAAGCAATGGTTTATTCAAATGATACATAGTTGAAAGTCAAGGACTCTGATTGCCTCTACCAGCCCTCCTAAACTCTGTGTTCTTGCTACACCAGCAGATGGAAGATTCTCTCTCTGTGTGTCTCTACCCCCTCTCTCTGTCAGTGTACCTATCAAATAAAGAAAAGTAAAAATCTTTAAAAAAAAAAATGTCCTCGGTACCTTAGGGGATTCTGGGGAGGTGCCTGGGAGGCCACTTTAAGGAGTGGAAGGTGTGTCAGGGGGTGTTCTGGCCTTTTCCCTGGCTTCACTCAGAATAGCTTCGATTTTATTATTTTGTACATGGAGGTGCGTAAATAATAATTTTTGGGGGAAAAGGATTTAAAAGCCACTTATGTACAAACTCACCAGTTGGGTCTCCTAGAAGTCAAACCAGCACCACAGTAGAACCGCAGACAGGACCTGCTGTCACGCGTCCCTCCTCCTGGGGCCCAGGGGCCTTGCCAAAGGCAGACTTGCTCTCAACTCCATTTGTAACATGGTAATACATCCCCTGCTCGTGCCTGCCCCACAGGGTAGCCCTTGGGAATCCCGTGAGATAGATGGATGTGTGGGGGCTTTGGGAGCCGTGCCATTCTGCCCAGTGTCAGAACTTCCTGTTTCCAGAGTGAGGGTACTGTGCTTGTTCTCAGGGCACAGAGGTTAGCTGGGGTTTTGACTGCACTCATCTACTACCTGAATGTGCTCTGGGTTGTTGGTGTCTGTGTGTCTGCGTGTCTGCATGTGTGTGTGTGTGTGTGTGTAGGAGAGGCAATACTTCACTTTTAAGGGATTTTTCCATATTTCATCGACTCTACAACATGCCCTTTCCTCCCTCCGTGTTCTAACATCCCTAAGATTCAGAGGCATCCTACATCCAGTGGCATGGCAGTTTGATCATCTGTTTTGTATTTGTCAGTGATACATAAAATAATAGACATTTTACAATCTAAGGTGTTTTAGAGTCAATGAAATACTTTGCTAACTTGGACTCTTCTTTCCCTGTGAAATTCACCTTTCGGCTCCCACAAGTCTCTTGGGAAAACTTCATAAACTTAGAGCACACAGCCCTCATGCTAACACTCTGCCCTTGCTTTCTTCCCTGCCAGTCTCCTCCTAGGCCAGCCAAGCTTTTGGCTTCCTGGCCAGAGAGGGCCCACTTGGTCACGCTGTCTTGTGGGATGGATGGTCTGTGGGATGTGAGAGGGAGGGAGCCACACAAGCCAGGCCCAGCTGGATTCTTTATTTCCCAACCACAGCTTGGTCACATAGCTAAGCATGCTTTGCTTGGGAGCTCCTAGGAGTAATCACTGTCAGAGATTGGGTGAGCTGACAAGAGTGGAGCTGGCCGGTGTCATCCTACCCTGGACCCCATAGGTTAGATAGGAGCACCTGTGTGGCCCGCGGAGGTGAAGGCGATGACTTCCTCACCTCATCTAACAAGGTAGACGAAGGGAGAGGCGGCGGGCCTTTCAAGAAAAACCAACACTTAAGCCCAGGGCAGCCTGAGCTATGGACATTTTGCTGCCACTGGAAACTGCTGCCAATCTTTCCTCGTCTCACAGGCCACTCAAATTAAGCTTGGCCCTTGTAAGCTTTAAGCCAGGCTCTCCGAGAAGGGCAAAGGAGTGTCTGCAGTGAGTTCCAGGGGTACTTGGGCACAGGAAGCAGCTTTTGGACATTTTCCCCTTCGAGAGCTTAGCAAGACGTGATCAGCCTGGATTACAGCTGCCCTCACGTAACTGGGTTAAAGTGTTGGCCTACTTAGGCTCCTCCCGTGGTGGCCTCCTTCAAAAGCTGATGAGGCCGATTAGGGGGCTATTTCTGAGCCCTAGTCTTGTACCCTGAAGCCCGAGGGCAGTCCTCCCCTGGCGAGAAAGACTATAACTAAAGCTGCAGAGCCAACAGCAGAATTTTCCCTGCCAATGGGAGTGTACTACCATCAGATCTCATGTATCCTTGTGAAAGACAGAGCCAAATAATTGCAAGGCTAAGTCCCTGGACTTTGAACTTCAAACACCAAGCCAATCGATTGTTTTTCAGGGAGAGAACTAGTTCTACACCTTTCCCAGTGCCAGCCCTAGAGAGAAATGGCAGATGGTCAACATGAAGTCTTCAGTAACAGTCACTAGCCTCCACCCAGGACATACTGTGCATCTGAAGGAGATTGTCATCTGAGCTCTCTGAGCCTCAGTTTGCTCACCTATAAAATGGCAATAATGATAGTACTTACTTCATATGGCTGTGGTGAGGGTTGAATAGATAAGGCATCCAGCACTGCGCCTGGCAGCACATCCTAGGCACTGCTTTCCTGAATACTAGATACCACCACCACCATCACTGCTGCCATTACCACCACCATCATCACCGCCCTCATTCTCATCAAGACAACAGAGTGAATGGTAGAAAGCTCAGTTTCTGGAGCCTGACAAACTTTATGTTGGATCCTGGCTTGGCCACTTTATAGCTAGGTAGTCTTGGATAAATGACAGCTTCTTTGAATCTCATTCTTACTGTATAATGGAAAATTCATAAGGTTATTGGAAAGTATATAAATGGTTCTTAGCTCACAGGATGCACTCAACACATGTTGGTTATTATAATTATTTTAAAGTGGTGATCGAGTCAGTGTTGCAGGTGTTGAGGGGACAGAGGGATGAATAAGGCAGTGAAACTATTGTGTATGATACTATAGCGATGGATATGTCTTGTATTACCTTTGTCAAAACTGATAGGCTGTATAATACCAAGTGTGAATCCTAAGGTAAACCGTGGACTTTGGATGATAATGTAGCAATGTAGGGTCATCAGCTGTAACAAATGTACAATCACCACTGTGTTTGAGGATGCTGATAGTGGGGAAGGCTGTGTGGGGTGGCAGGAGGTGTATAGCAATTCTTTGTCCTTTCTGCTCAACTCTTCCTGTGAATCTGCAACCACTAAAAAAATAAAGTTAATCTTTTTTTAAAAAAATATTTATTTATTTATTTATTTATTTCAAAGTCAGAGTTACAGAGAGTGGGGGGGGTGGGGAGAGAGAGAGAGAAAGAGAGAGAGAGAGAGATATGTTCCATCCGCTGGTACACTTCCCAGATGACTGCAACAGCCAGGTCTGGGCCAGGCCGAAGCCAGGAGCTTCTTCCAGTTCTCTCACATGGGTAGCAGGAGTCCAGGCACTTGCGCCATCTTCCGCTGCTTTTCCCAGGTCATTAGCAGGGAGCTGGATTGGAAGTGGAGCAGCTGAGATGCTAATGGGTGCCCATGTGGGATGCTGGCATTGCAGGTAGCAGCTTTACCTGCTATGCCACAATGCTAGCTCCATAAACTTTATCGTAAAGGAAAAAACGGGGGTGATGAAACTAGATTGGTATAAATTTAGGATAACTATAAACCCATAGTAACCACTAAGTAAATAATTTTTAAAATACAGAGAAAATCAGATGAAGAGGGAATCAAAATGGGGTACTACAAAAATATATCAAGCACAAAAGA